CCGATGGCCTCCATCTGCCCGCCAGTTCCGCCTGGGAGAGTGCGCGGGGTGCCCTCGCCCGCTCCCCGAGGCCCGCCTTCTCTTCCCCCATCCCGGGAATCCTAGGAATGTCACCCCCTCCTCCAGCCTCCTCGCCCCTGCGTCCCCACTCCACCTTGGGGGGAGGGGAGGAGGAGGAGGCTGGCCGGGGCAGGTGAGTGGAGGGGACCTTTCAGCCACTGGTTGAAAGGAAAGGGTCACCGATCAGGCTGCTCAAACCTCACCGCGAGCCAGGTCGGACTGGGACCAAATCCCCGGATTGCCTGGGGGCAGGGGGCTGGCCCTGACTCCCTGGGAGAAGCCAGCCCAGACGCTGGTCAGAATGGGGGGAAGGGGTCCCCGGGTCCTGCTGGGAGAGATTCCTCAGCTCTTCAGTCAGTTTGGGGGTCCCTGGTAAGAGGATCCAGAGCCTGGCTTTGCCAGTAGGCCCAAAGGGAAGGCTTAGATTACAGGCTGGTGCCACTACTGGCCAGACTGGCCAAGTTACTTTAGCCACTGGTCATGCAGGAGAGCAATTGTTCAGCTCAGAAAGGTGACCTGTGAGTATTCAGGGCAGTAACCCTCCTGCCGGAAGCCCTCCCTTGTTCCCCAGCCCCTTGTCCCCACCTGGGCTCTGCACACCCTGGGCAGTCCGTGCCTGAGGATGGGCCTGTCCCCCACCCCACACACGAGGAGCCCCTGCAAGGGTCAGGGCACCACCCAGACCCAGAGCAGGGGCTCAGTGAAGACTTGTAAGGGGCAAACAAGGGTCCCCATGCAAATTCCATCGGGGCGGGGGGGGGGACAGCACCACAGGACACAGCACAACCCCGGGGGACAAGATCACCCTAGCTGCTCTGTCCCTGGCTTGTGCATCTGCTGGTGTGCACTCCTGTGCCTGCTGTCCACGTCCACCCAGCCAAGGTGCGGGGCGCAGGGGACGACCATAGGGATGTGCAGGAGAGAGAAGAGCCGAAAGTCCCAGCTCGACCGGCACAGACTTGCAGAAACTTGTATTGCAGCAGTAATAGGGGACTTGCCCTCCCTGGTCCCCTACAATTTAGTTTCATAAAACAGCTAGAGGGATCCTGTTAAAATGAGTTAGCTCATACCGCTGTTCTGCTCCAAGTCCTTCTATGACTCCTTGCTCATTCAGAGTAAAAGCTGAAGTTCTCTCCATTGCTCACAAGGTCCTGGTTCTGGCCCTTGTTATCTCCCTGACCCCATCTACCCCCACTTTCCCTTGCTAGCTTTGGTCAACTCCACTGCAGTTCTGCTAACATGCCAAGCAGGTTCCAGCCTCAGGACCTTTGCACGTGCTGTTCCCTCCACCAAGACAGTCTCTGCAGAGCTTCCTCCCTCACCTGCTTCTAATCTCTCTTCTTTTCACCTCATTAAATGGCTTTCCTGAGCCATCCTATCTCCATAGCAACTGTGCTTTCCCTGCAGCTCCTACTTCCCTTCTCTTACTATATTTTTCCTTCAGAATATTTATTGTTGCCAAATCAATTATTATTTTTTTATTTTACTTACTTTCTTTTTTGGTACTAGGGATTGAACTCAGGACCTCATGCTTGTAAGGCAGGTATGGTGCCACTGAACTAAATCCCCAGCCCTACTTACTTTTTATTATTATTGTTTTTATTATTATTATTATTTAAAATTTTTATACCGGGGATCAAACTCGGGACATTGTGCTTGTGAGGCAGGTGGCAGAACCACTGAACTAAATTCCCCAGCCCTTTTCTGGGTTTTGTTGAGACAAGATCTCACTGGATAGTCCAGAATGACCTTAAACACTTACTCCTCCTGCCTCAGTTTCCCAAGTGCTGGGATGAGAGCACCACAGTGATTTTGTTTAATTTTTAAATTGTTTGTCTTGCATAGGATCTAAGCTCAGCTGGGGATTTAGCTCAGTGGTTCTGCCGCCTGCCTCACAAGTGCAAGGACTCATTTAATCCCCCAAACCAAAACCAAAACCAGAACAAACAAAAAACCAAGCCCAAAGAGAACAGGGACTTTCTGGTTCCCTACTGTATCTCCAGTGCCCAGGACAGTGCTTGGCATGTGAAAAGAAAATATTTATGCACTGGATTAAATAATTTTCTAATTCCATCCTTGCCCTCCCATGTGATACACATACAGGCAGGTGTCACTTAACAACAGGGACTTTCTGTTGTAAGACCTAAAGTCTCACTTCCACTCCACGGAGCGTGGACAGCCGAAAGGCCTCCACGAGGCTGGGCCCTAACACCCAGGGAGGCTCCGGGAACACGACAGAGAACCAAGAAACCCAGGAAGGAACACACCAGCCTAGATGGTAAAGAGACCTTTATTAGTCTGGCCAGACGGCACTCCCGGAGCCAGGTGGCTCAGAGAGGCAACTGCTCAGGGGCTGAGGTACTTTTTATAAGGTTTTTCTAAACAAAGAGTCAGGGAATTCACAGAACAAGACTGCAAACACATTGCTTATCTTATGCAGGAAATGTTCTAGGGTCACCTTTTGTCAAACCATTTGCCCCTGGGCAGGCTGTTCACCAAGGTAGCAATTAGCATGTGAAGAAGCACAGTCTGGCTGGCCGATTAGCATGGAGTCACTTTAGCCTATTCAAGTCTTACACTGTGAAAGGTGTTGTTAGGTGATGTTGTCATCGTGGATCACAGAGGGCATTGGCACAAACTAAGATCGGCACAGGGTCACCAGCTATGATCACACAGGTCCCCGAAACTGACTAGGTCTGCTGGAGCAGAACCTTGTCCCTCGGTCCCCCACAAGGATGCGCAGTCCCTTGTATAAAATGGCTCAGTATTGTGTACAATCTATTCAATCCTCCTGTATACTTTATTATTCGTGAGAGGGGCTGGGTTCGAGTCAGACCCTCAAGCATGCTAAACTAAACGTGCTCCTTGCCAGGGAGCTACACCCCACCCCTCTCGTGAACGTAAAATCATCTCTAGATGATCATGATTAATACCCTGCCAACACTATGGAAATAGTCTTTACACTGTATTGTTCAGGGAAAAATGCCGAGGGAAAGAAGTCTGCGCATGTTCAGTTCAGATACAATTATTTTTTTCTGCATATCTTTGGTCTGAGATTGGTTGAGTAATATGGGGGACTGCCTGCCTTTTAGTGAATAAGGCTTACCTTTTCTCTACCTTCCTCCCACTAGTTTTCATGCAGTGCCTGACAGTTAACTTTAAAATGACTCCACGACCCAGTTACTTGGGAGACTGAGGGAGGAGAATTACAAGTTCAAGGCTCCTGAAGGCAACTTAGTGAGATGCTTTCTCAAGACAAAAACAAAAAGGGCTGGGACTGTAGCTCAGGGGAAGAGCAGTTGCCTCACATGTACGAGTCCCTGGGTTTGACCCCCAGTATAGCAAAAAAAAACAAAAACAAAAACAAAAACCACACACAAAACAAACTAGTTCACAGCTTGTGGAATACGGGGATCGGGACAGGTTTCAGAGGGGAATGGGGAATTACTCATGGTTCCCGGCGTGGTCTGGAAAGTGGAAGCTCTGACATTTTGTGTGTTGTGCATTTTTGTTTGTTTTTTTTGTAGTTGAGACTGACCTGGAACTCACTATGTAGCCCAGGCTGGTCTCGAACTTGCAGCGATCCTCCTGCCTCAGCCTCCCAAGTGCTGGGATTACAGGCGTGCGCCACCATGCGCAGCTGTTGTGCATTTTTGATTGAACAACGAGAGTCAGTAGTGCAGGGAGAGTCTGGGAGAAATGCTTGGGTTCGAGCGTCAGCACAGAGCAGAGGGTGACTGCAGAGTGTGGAAAGGGGCGGACTGTACCAGACGTTGTAAGGCCAAGTTGCCTAACAGCTGTACTCTCCCTACCTTTGGAGCCGTCTTTACTGTCTGAGAGCCTGATACCCTCTGCAGAAGCCAGAGGCAGCTGTTTGCTCGCTTGCCTCTGTGGGAGCTGAGGTGACTCAGCTTGGCAAACTCTTCCCCATTCTCGGGCCAGCAGCAGGAGAAGCAGGGCTCTGGCGAATCTCTTCTGGGTCTGCAGCTGCGGCAGATCCCAAAGATGGCCCCCTCCGCGTGCCTGTCCATGGTCAGAGCCTCGCATATGTCCCACCGTGCCGCATAGTTGTGTGGCTTGCATGTAACTGAATGATGCAGGAGTGACAGCACCGTGTGACCCCCAAGATGAGGAAGTAAAAGCCACACGGCTTCTGCCTGGGTCACTGAAATGAGCTATAGCTTGGCATCTGCAGGAATTGGCTTCAAGACCCTTAGGACAAAAGTTCACAGATGTTCAAGTCAATTAAGTAAAATGATGTATTCACACAGAGTTTATGTGCATCCGTATATATATGTGTACACACACACACACATATATGTATTTTTTGGTAGCACTGGGTAGTACATCTAAATCCTCCTGCCTCAGCCTCCTGAGTAGCTGAGATTACGGATGTATATACCACTGTACCTGATCTTCCTGTAAAATTTAAATAATCGCCTAAGACTTACAATACCTAATACAATGCAAATGCTAGGTAAAGGGTCATTGTATGGAATTGTTTAGGGAATTATGCCATGAAAAAAGCCTATATGGTACATATGAAAGTATTTAAAAAGTATTATTGGCTAGGTGTGGTGATACATGCCTATAATCCCAGCACTGGGGAAGCTGAGGCAGGAGGATCTCCATGAGTTAACGGCTGCTAGCCTGGATTATTACATAATGAGTTCAAGGCCAGACTGTACTGCATGGAAAGACCCTGTCTAAAAAAAAAAAAAAAAAATTATCACTGGGCGTGATGGCGCATGCTATAATCCCAGCACTCGCCGAGGCTGGGGCAGGAAGAGTGCCTCAAATTCAAGAAAGCCTGAATTACACTGCAAGATCCTGTTTCAAAAACAAATATCAATTCACAGTAGATTGGATCCACAAGGGCAGGACCAGGGGTACGGAGACCATCCGGCCCTCAGCATCCCTGCTCCAAGTGCCACTCATTTGTGCCTTCTGATTGCACCTTAAGCCAGAGTCACTCATTTCAGGGTCACCCCAGATCCTGGCCCCAGCAACCATGAGCAATAAACGCAGCCAGCTCTGTCCTCCACTGCGAAGTCATGGAGCGACGTGTTGAGCGTGGCTGAGGAGAAAAGCAGCCGCATCCTGCTTCCGGGACAGCTGAGGCGGTGATGTGAGCTGGGGCCCCGGCGTGGCCTCCTGGGGCCGTTCTGCGGAGTGACTGGCCGGTGACTGCTGATGGCCAGTGTGGTCCCGCCTGGGTTCCAATCCCCGCTCTCCGGGTCACTCTGGGATTCTGAGCGACCCATCCATACCTTGTCAGTAAAGTCCCTTTCTGTCCCTGAGGCGGCTTCCGTGGCTTGGAGAGAAATAAATCCCTGACACAGACTTTTGAGCCTCCTCCCCGTGCCTCATGTCACCTTTCCCGTCTCAGCCCAGCCACTGACGCTCCCGGAAGCCCTCCCTGACTTCAGGCCAGTCAGGGGCACCCTCTGCACCCCTGCAAGCCCGCCATGATGGGGTGGGGCTGGACTCCCAGGACTGGAGAAGCCCGGGCGCCTCTATGCCATGTGGGGGGCAGAGTGGGCGTGGGGCTGGGGCTCCCGGGTGATCCTGTGGTCCCCAGGCTCGGGGTCCACCCTTTCTCAGCGACAAGCTGCCCCCTGGCGGCTGCTGCCCTTTTCCTTCACACACGAGAGGTCCAGTCAGGCTTGGCACTTTTATTTCTGCTTCACAAACCCCCTCCAGCCCGAGGGTCCCTGCAGCGGACACATCTGGGCGCCCTGCATGCAGAAGAGAGGCTCCTTAGGGAGGGGACGGCGCCAGGCAGGGAGGGAGCTGGAGAGGTGCAGGCTGGGTGGGGTGGACTCACCTGGTTTCAAGGCCTGGGGAGCCATCGGGGCCCCACCGGGGCAGCTGGAGGGGTGTGCTTTCCTTTAGGAGTTTCTGCAACGGAGGAATTGGGGATGGGTTTCCTGGGGCCTGATGTTTCCCCTCCACCCCTTTTAGACCTGGGGGTCCAGGCGGGCCTCACTGTCTCCACTTACTCTGTGGCCCCTTCCGCGGCCTGGGCCCTGGGGGTGGCATTCCACACGGCTGAGGCCACAGTCCTCACTCTGGGCAAGGGAAAGGGGGGCCGGAGCCGGGGGAGGGCCAGAGGTGCCTGGAGAGGAGGAGATCAGATCAGAAATGCCCCAGACTCAGCGATGCAGGCTCTCCTCCCAGCTCAGGCTGGCTTCCCCTTGCTCCTCTGCCTCCAGTCTGATGAGGCCCTGCTGTCCTGTTTAGCTCAGTGTCCCGTCCGTCCACCTGTCCGCCCATCCACCCCACCGTCATTTCCTGCCATCCAGTGCTTCGGGCACCGACTGTTCTAGGCTCTGAGGACACAGCCGGGACTGAAGCGGAAAGATGTCCCCTCGCCCATGGAGCTGGGATCTACTGAGCCAGGATCCTGCTGGGTCATCAGCTTACTATCAAGCTCAGGTTTCAGGGCATCCTGGTCCTCCTGAGTGCGGGGATGGGCTGCCTCTGGGAGGCAGGGATCACGGCTTGAGGCAAAGGGCGGAAGCGGGCAGGGCTCTGGCTCCTTGGAAAGAGTAGGGCAGCAGGGACTTGGGAGCTGAGGGGTGGGGCGAGGGGAAGCAGTGGGAACTTCCGAGGAGGAAAGGGGAGGAGAGAGGGGATGTGACTCAGGCCGCAGAGCCCCGATCTCCCAGGCTCTGTCAGGGCGCGCGGTGGGGCTTGGGCCACACCTGTCCGCCATTCTTCACACAGAGCCAGGGGATCAGAGAGGCCCCCGGGGACCACCGGGCGGCAGTGTCGCCCAGGGAGGTGGGTTTCTCAGAAGGAGAACGGCTGTGGGTGGGGAGCATTCTGAGCGACAGTCACAGCCACGGTGACACTGGCCAGGACAGTCTGGAGCCGGACAGCTGCAGGGGGCAGGGACAGGCCTCTCGCCCATGGGCCCACTATCCAGACAGGGGAACCGAGGCAGCAGAGTGGGGCGCTGGGCCCTGACTCCTGCAAGATGTGCAGCTCCTGAGGCTGAGTATCGCTCGGCGTTGGATGGGAGCCTAACGGTACTGGCCTAGTGGGGTTTTCACGACAATGGGATGGCAAGGCTGGGTAATAAAGTGAGGCCTTATCTAAAAAAAACAAAACAAGCCGGGCATGGTGATACACGCTTGTAATCCCAGCACTTTGGGAGGCTGAGGCAGGAGGGTGGCAAGCTGGTACCCAGCCTGGCTAACTTAGGGAGACCTTGTCTCAAAATAAAAAATAAAAAGGGCTAGAGATGGAATCAGTTGAAAGGCCCAGTGCTCATTTCAATGCCCAAGTCTGGGGGGAAAAAAAAAAAAAAAAAAAAAAAAAAAAAAAAAAAGAGGGCAAGGAATTGGGTCGAGGGTCTCCCCCC